ACTCAACTTCTTAGTTTTTGAAATATTTTGGAAAAAGGCGATTTTTTAAAAAATTGAAAAATTTTATTCAAAACTAAATGAAAATTTTTTTTAAATTTAGTCGTTCAAATTCCCAGAATCTACTGTTAATGCATAAATAAAGTAAATTGCAGAAGGAATACCTACGTTTATTTATTTTTTTTTTTTCGTCAAGTCGTTAATTTTAATACCGACCTTTTTTTTTCTCAAAAATCAAGACAATCATTTTATTTTGATTGTAACTTCATTAGTTTTCATGCTAACGACTTTTACCACCACTCGATTTAAAGGTCTTTTCAAGAACTTTAATAAGTGTTATATAAATTTTCCTCGAAGAACCATTAATTTTTCCGCTACAGGACATTGAATGTTTCGATTATAGCTATCTTCGAAATTGACTTCAACTTCTGGGAGTCATAACTCGGGTTCTATACCATCTACAAAAATAAAAAAAGCAATCTCTTTGCTATTTAATTACCTTCATTTTTGCTTATGATCATTTTTTTTATAAAACTTGTAGTTTTTGAGATATTCGCGAAAAATGGCTCAAAAACATGCATTTTTTGGGCTAAAAACGAACATGTTTAGGTGCAAATAACTCAAAAAGTATTGACTGCACAAAAAATTCTTATAGAACATTTTTCGCTTAGAATTCGTTCCTCTATCGAATCGTGAGGTTATTTTTAATAAAAAAATTCCCACCCTCCAGAAGGGGTGGCATCCACCCCTAGGGTAAAAGCACACATGGCCACTATATAACGTTTGTTTTTTAGGCTATTCCCTAGCTACAGTTCAAAGTTCACGTCAATCCATTCCATCCGAAAAAAATGGTAGCCAAAATGCTTCAATGACTGGACTATCGGTCTGCGTCAAAGATTTTCAGATGCTGAAAAAATGTAATAATTTTAATTTATTTAATAAAGTTTAGATCAATTTTCTTCATGAGAAATGAGAAAAACTTAAAATTTTGGTAGAAATTGTCGCCCTTTTATTTTTATTGTATTTCTGGATTCGCTACTTTTGGTTAAAGCGCCGTGTTTTTTCCGCATACTGTACGAAAGAGCTGCTGTTTTCCGAACGTTATCGCTCCGTCTGCGTTGACGCTAAGCAAACAAGTAACCGCGTCGGCAGACAATCTGGATTAGATTATTTATTCAGCACTTCTATAAGCAGTATATCAGAGACTGCTATCTTTGAAGCCACAACTCAAAGTTTACTATCAACAAATCATCGTTTATTTTCTGGATAAACAAACAGCGGATCGGTCGTCTATATTTGTACCCGTCCATCACCGGGATAAATAGGTAACGGAGCTTCAGCTTACCTAGTTTCGATAGATCAGTACAAATATCGGATGTCTGGTTCAACAAGGAGCGCGTGTAGTGGAACAACATTAATCTTCTGTAGACAAAACAATTATTTGTGTATAAGTTGGGTCGCTACATCAAATCAGAAGGAAAACAAATATGTACATTATTTTCTGTACTCAACATTTCCAATTTTTGCAAAACGTTGTACAAATAAATGTATTACTTTTACGTGTTCCAAGGAAGTTGTGTTAATTTCTTTAATAAATCTTGGGATTGGCTAAAAAATTGCCCCTATTCTCAGTTCGAGGTCATTGATTTTGAAAATACCAATAGATTTTTACTCGTGTTTGGGTCAATTTTATGGTGGCATTGACATTTATCCATTAAATTTTCTCCTGTATTTCCAATGAGTACAAGAAAGATGTCAAAAAATAATACAACAAACTTGGAGTCTGATGTAGTTAAAATAGGAAGAAACACTGAAAATATAAAGGACGTTTTGGGTAAAAGTACCACAAATTTAGAAAGTAATAGAATATAAAATTTTTTGTTCCTATGCGCATATGTCTATCGTCTTTTGTTTTTGAGATACAAAGTGCCACAGAATTTTTTTAAATCAAATTTTAGCATTTCCAAAAAGTAAACCGACGCATTGGAATTTAGTACGTGTAAGTTTTTGGAGGTGCCACAGAGCTTTAATAATTTCTGACCATCTTCTAGTCTAGAGATCGCTAGCTGCTACCTACACCCAGTAACATTTTTTTGAGGTTAGATTTCTTTACGGGTATGCCATATTTATAAAGCAAAACTTCGTCATATTTTCTTAAAGCCCGACGAAGCTATGTACCCCAAAAACAAAAGAATATAGGCCTACGGTCCACAGGAAAATAAATTATTTTTCTATGTTCTATTGGTCCCTGGTATCTTTGCCCAAGGCACATGTATACTAGTCGAAATAGGAAGAAATTCAACGTATTCTTGAATAGTAGGTAAGTTCGCAGGAACATGTCTACTTAATGTGACTTTTTGACACCCTGTATATTAATCCAATGCGAACCTTAATAAAATAAGTTGCAGAACTGATTCAATTCAGCATTTCCGATTTTCTTCTAGTTTTGCTCATTGGTTAAAACGTTTCCACCATATGGACTGTTAAATATAATCATGAAACTAGCCAGATATTTGTAGTTTTCGCTTGAAGAAAAAAAAAAAAAAAAACAGATAAAAGCCATCAGTTTATCTGATTGTTTAATTTTTTTTAATATTTTGACAGAATCAAACATTAAAAGAAGGTTATTACGAATTTAACACAGAATTTCTATTAGTTACAGTTCGACTATACAGAGTGATCTACAAATTAATGTAAAAACATAAGGGGGATATAGAACATAATAAGGTTAGACAATTTTTTTCTATGAACTATGATTTGTTTTTTGTGTTTGACACACGTATTTTTTTAAATCAAACATCTTTTCCAAAAAAACAATGTACTGTATTGAAATTTGGTTCATAGTCCAATTAAATGGGCCTTTAATTCGCAATTTTGGTCAACTTACCTGAATTTTTAATATAAGTTAGTTTGAGCATATACAATGTAGAAAAGTACCGATGGTCTATCAGAAGTTACGTGAGAGCGATAAAGTAAGCCATAGAAATCCATGCGATAGAGAAGGATGGCTATAACGAAGGCTTCTCATAGTCACCGCCCATTTCGCCCTTCCACAAATAAGAAGTGGATCTTATTTGTGGAAGGGCGAAACGGACGGTGACAAAGAGAAGCCTTCATTATAGCCATCCTTCTCTATCGCATGGATTTCTATGGCTTACTTTATCGCTCTCACGTAACTTCAGATAGACCATCGGTACTTTCCTACCCTGTATAATAACAATAAGTGACAGTATTTTTTTTAACCCCCGGCCAGGGGTGAAAAAGAAAAAATAAAGGGGGCTTTCAAGATAACTTAAAAGGAGTAAGAGTTAGAAAAAAAGCTTCTTATAAAAGTTGTAGAGCATAAAATTCTACATAAAAATGGTCTGTTGACTTTTTCCTGAACTATTAAAATTAACAAGAGTAAGGGTGGCTAGAAGTTAAGGGATGATTTCAAAATTTAAAAAATGAAAAAGTTTATAGTTTTTTCAATCTACTCTAAAAAATATAAACTATATTTTCATAGAATTATATATATGTATTTCACAAAGCAAACGTGATTTTTTATTTTTGTCGTAAAACAAAATTTAAAAAGCAACTTTTCATTATTTTAAATAATCAATCGAATGGCATAAAAAAAATTGTTTTAGTGTTAAATCATAAAAATTAACGATTAAAAAATTGAAATTGGTATAACTTTTTTATTAAAAATTAAAAAATATATATAAATTTTTTTTTTTGAGCAAAATTGCGATTGAATTGGACTAACAGATAAGTTGTCAAAGCTACTAAATATGTCAATGATGTTAGCTTTTAACCATATGCTAAAAGTCGTTAGTTACTATCTTTTTCGAGATTGGGTTGTTTCCACTACATTTTTTTTATATTATATTTTCTCGAAACACCCGACGTTTTTCAAGAAAAACGCGATTGACTGACGCAAAGTCAACCAGCTTCTATTCTTCGATGTAGAAGACCGGAAACGAATGTGTCACTCTTCAAGGGTAGCTTCCTTGCTCTCTTGAAAAGTTATGAGCCTTCAGAGAAACGGAATAAAAATATTTTATTTAACATTAGTAGCTTTTTAAGGAAGCTAAATTATATTACTGTAATTGATTGAATAGTCATATTATTCGAGCATTTACAATTGCATTTTTTCGAATTTATATGACGGAGTCGTAGGGCTAACTTGGGCGTTAATATCACTACTCGTGTCACTCATCTTCACGAAATAATAAGTAATACCGTAAATGAAAATGATTTAAAATAAAACGTTACAAATAAAGTTCTCGAGGTGTTTTATGACAACAACCAGATGCCCCATAACGAATCCACGGTCAACAGAATAGCAGCGTACTCACGTCTTCAATTCTCAAGTAGAACTGCCTTCAGTACATCTCTCTGTACTTCTCTTCACTCGTCAGGTCAAAATTATTCTTAAATGAACCAATCAAATTCGTTATATCCTAGGGATTCCCTTATAAAGTAATTTTAAGGTAAATGCTATCTGTCCTTTGACCGCGGCAACGTTGAGTGACCCGTAAGTCCCTCCAAACCCAAGCTTGAAATCATAAAACTCGGGAATAATATAACCGGCTTAATTCACAAATAACTATTTCTAAGTTTTATGGTCTAGGTACAATTTATAAAAGAGTTCCCTGAGTAAAGAATTCTGGCATTTCCAAAGTCTGAAGGACTCGGCCTGTGAGAAAGACATCTCCGACATATATATAGTACCTACTAATGTACTGTAAAGAATCTAACCTCAAATAAATGTCACAGAGAAAGGTCGTAATTAGTGACCTTTGGCAGGCGGTCAAAAATAGACAACACCTCAAAAAACTTACCTGTACCAAATTCCAACGCAATGCATTGTTTATTGGAAAAGATGGGGCTAAAGTTTGATTTACAAAAAATCATATTTGAAGACCATGATTTGAACAAACGATAGACTCAGACTCATGGTCTATTGGAAAAAATGTGTTATTTTTTATGTTTTGCCACCCCCCCTTTTTTACACTCACTTCTAAATCGCCCTGTAGATAGGAGGGTCTTAGCGAACTGTCAAATTCTCAACGCCATACGTTTCGGTCTTGAACGCAACAGCCTACTTATGTAAATCACCACACCGGTCCCAAATCGGACAGCCCGACAGCCCGACCTATACCTTATCCA